AATATAATACATGCATATTATCTGATATAGTTAAAACATCAAATGAGATAGTTCAGATTCTCATAGTTAGATAGTAAGATATTCTCATAGTAGATAGTAAGATATCATTTTAGTTTTGCTACACAAATGATATTGAACATTTCCCTAAGTTTCTAAATATTAAAATAATTTGATATACAGTAAATTGTAACAGTGATAATAGTATCATATGTGAATGTCGTGGAAAATTCATAATTCAATATGAACAAATTACATGTGTTGAACATTCCCCTAAGTTTCTAAATATTACATCAATATAATACATGCATATTATCTGATATAGTTAAGACATCAGATAAGATAGTTCAGATTCTCATAGTTAAAGTATCATTTTAGTTTTGCTACACAAATGATATTGAACATTTCCCTAAGTTTCTAAATATTAAAATAATTTGATATACAGTAAATTGTAACAGTGATAATAGTATCATATGTGAATGTCGTGGAAAATTCATAATTCAACATGAACAAATTACATGTGTTGAACATTCCCTTAAGTTTTTAAATACTATATCAATATAATACATGCATATTATCTGACATAGTTAAGACATCAAATAAGATAGTTCAGATTCTCATAGTTAAGATATCATTTTAGTTTTGCTACACAAACTATATTGAACATTTCCCTAAGTTTCTAAATACTAAAATAATTTGATATACAGTAAATTGTAACAGTGATAATAGTATCATATGTGAATGTCGTGGAAAATTCAAGTTCTGTGTTATAAAAAACTTTTAATAATAGTATCAGTATCTAACTGTTAGGTTTAGAATTGAACTAATCATTTAACTAACGCACATTCATTCACATCCTTTTTCATCCTTTCTCATATAGACAGCTTAACATTCCCATTAACTATTTATTTTACATTCCCATTTTCCAGGTCGATTCTTAATTTGCATTTATGATTTTACAATCCAATCGTATTCTCTTTATCCTTTTTACTGAAGAAGTTTTACTATTAAAATACTACTATTCTTCGTTAGATTTATTATTAAGTATTATTAAAGTATTACTATTCTTCGTTAGATGCCACTTAACCTATCAGCTGTTACATTTCCTCGTAAAATACCTATTACGAAATGAACATTTGCTGAACATTGATAAAATATTCGATTGAAAAAAAAAA